ATATATATATATATATATATATATATATATATATATATATATATATAATTTGAATTGAACAATTTTTGTAGCTGTTGTTTTTTAAACTACTGATCAGAATTTCTTGAAATTCATGGAAAATACCCAGTGATCTAACCAAGAACCTAAATCTACCTTCCCTTGATTATTCCCATAAGTTGTATATGGAAATAGCAAAAACATGGGATATGCTCTAGCTTACAGTAGTATCCCATACATTTTATAAAATTGCATCTGGAAAAAAGCAGACAGCTCAAAAACTTAAATGTTAAATGTCCTATCAATGGTTATGGAATGTTTTCATTTTTAATGTTTGAAACACATGAATGAAAATCCAAAAACCACACCATGATTTATATTAGTTAGAGTTATAAAAGTAGCAATGTCTAGCCTTCGAAACCACACATAACAGATCCACAATGTAACAAGTGTAATGTTAGAAACTTGATAAATGTCAAGTATTCACATCCATACCCTGATTCCCAATCATTTAAGATGTCCTAAAAGTTAGTTTTCTAATACTGTTCTGGTTTTTTTTGATGGAACAATAGGTGATTTGTCCTATAAAGCAGCCTATAAAAGCAATTTGAGTTGAAGTTAATTTTAACATGTTGAAGAACAGAGGCTGTTTGAGTTTATTTGAAGCAAGTGTTTTGACCATTGTCTCTAAATTGGAAGGCATTCTTGCCTTTGATCATTTTCTGCAGATTAAATGTGACAGTGGAGTCAAAGAAAGGAAAAAATGTACTGGAAGAGCCAAAAGTTAAGCTGTACCAAAAGGAAACATTGTAGAGAAAAGGATAGCATGGAATGATCTCATAATCATCAGCCTTGTCATCACCTTATTCCCTAGCCCAAGGAACTTTTGCAGAGACCAAAAATCTAAAGATTGAATCTTCAGATCTGGCAAGTAACTCTGTTTGTTCAAGATCTTAACCAGAAAGGTGCCAGTTTGGTGTTTTTTCTTTCTTTCCTTTATTTTTTGCTGTATCTATTTTTTTAAAGAAAACCAGCAAAGTAAGTAATATGTATTTATGTTTCTGTAGAGATTGCCAGTATACATACCAGTCAGCATACACACCAAATACTCAACTCCCATTTGGGTATTACTAGCTCATTGTGGTGGAGACTCAAGAAATGCCCACGGTCCCAAGGGAGATTGTTTTCTACATGGCTTTTGAATCTTAATCATGTATGGTTCTAAATAGCTTGTCATAACAGCATACTCTTCAAACCTTTCACTTGGTGCTCAGAAGATGCAGCCCAGGCTTTACAATTAAATGGTTTTGCATGTAGAGCTAAGACAAGGCTTAACAGTTTGTCAAATAAGTCACAGATAGCCTGGTTCATCCATTGTGGCTGAGCATAATACAATTTATGTGCTTTTGATGTAGCAAAAAAAGAGCAAATGCAACCATCTAGTTGCAGATGCAAATTGACATTATTCAAGACAATGCCTCACAATCTGCAGAACAATTCAACTATCTTGGAAGGAGCATCATGGATACAGATGGGGGGAACAGAAGCAGATGTGAATTGCTGAACAGCCAAAGCAATTCCTATCTTCCAACAAATGCGCTCAGTATGGACCACCATAAACATAACAACCAAGATCAGATTATTTAATGCCATTGTCATACTGACCGACATCTATGCCAGTGAGACAACAATAATTATTCATAAGATTAATGTTTTCCAACAACGTTGCCTTTGGGTCTCATATCATGACTATGTCACAAATGAGAAAATTCTACTAAGACGTAATTCCCGAAGACTGTCTGAGATAGTGACAGAACAAAGAGTGTGCTTTGCTGGACATATGCTCCTCATGAGTGAGCAATGTCCAGCATAAATTTGATACCACCGAATGGTCATAAAAAAAGAGGAAGGCCAAAGAAAACCTGGTGCCAAACATTTCAGGAAAACCTAAAAACATTAATGTTAAATGGAAGGATGCAGGCTGTAGCTGTAGCTGCAGATTGAGAACTGTGGATATGCTTGTAGCCCAATGTTCTTAGCACAGGATGTAATTATAAAAATCTAGTTTGATGACATTTGGGCAGAAGAACAGAACTGGGTGGAATTCTCATTACTGTATGAACTTTAGCTGAATGCTCTGTTATTTTTAATTTCCCATCATTACACAAAAATGAAGTGTCACAGGAATATTAATATACACAAAGTTCAGTGTGTCAATCTAGTAATCATCCTGTTTCCTTCTAGGCATTTGGTCAGTAAATTCCTCATTTCAAACTAGACATTTCCTGACCACAAGAGCTTATTAAGTTGTGGAGGAGCCTCCTGGAGTCATGGGTGCACCATCATTGGAGGTTTTCACACAAAGTGAGGACAACTATTTGTCTGGTATAGGATGAGAATTCCTGACCTGGACAGGGAGTTGGACTAGAAGACTTCTAAGGTCCCTTCCAACATTATGATTCTATGTTCTTCTGCTTACAATGAAGAATCCTAAACATTTGTAATAATTGATAAAGATCAAACCTATTTTGCTTTCAGATTACTATTCTTTCTTCATTATAGTTCATTCTACTGATATATTCTTTTATACATGGATGTTCTGAAACAATTGTACAATGTAAGTAAAGTAGACACTACTACTTTTCAGAAAATATTCCTTTGCTGTATCTTTTAACAGCAGAGACATCATCCTGCCAACAAAGGTCTATATATAGTCAAAGCTATGGTTTTCTCAGTAGTAATGTATAGCTGGGAAAGTTGGACCATAAGGAAGACTGAGCACCAAAGAATTCATGCTTTAGAATTATGGTTTTGGAGAAGATTCTTAAAGAGTCCCTTGGATTGAAAGGAGATCCAATTAGTCAATCCTAAAGAAAGTCAACCCTGACTGATCTTTGGAAGGACAGATATTGAAGCTGAAGCTAAAATACTTTGGTCATCAAATGAGAAGAAAGGACTCATTATAAAAGACCCTGATATTTGCAATGATTGAAGGCAAAAGAAAAGGGGATGGATGAGGTGGTTTGATAGTGTCATCAACACAGTAGGTTTGAGCAGGCTCTGGGAGATAGTGGAAGACAGGGCCTGGCTGTGGTCCATGGGGTTGTGAAGAATCAGACATGTCTTGACAACTGAACAACAACAAAATTTTACTTTTCACATAATACAAGACTCACAATAATAGACAAAAACATGTTCTTCCTTAGTATCTTGAATATGAATTTCAGAAAATATTTTTTCACAGATGATAAATATTATCTTAATTGAATGCTTGCACACCATATAAAGCAGAGAGGATGGTTTAAAGTTGGCAAAGATTGCAAAATCTGGATTTAAACCAACCCCTGCTGTCAATACTATCTGCCAAATATTCTCTTTGCAAACAAGGCTTTGTCTACATTTAGAGTGTTTTATAAAAACCTGCTGTGCAGAAATACAGATCTCTAAATTGTGTTCCGAAGTCTCATAATTGTTGGCAAACTTTAAGGAAATGAGAGAGTAACTGAAAAGATAAATTTGACCCAGGGAAAACACAATTCAAAAGACAAAGAAGAAATGGAGATTCTTATCCTTTGAGTTTTGCCAGTTCTGCCAACATAAAAGTACTCATTGAAGTCTAACTGAATGAAATATCAAGTTCAGTTTTACATACAAACTAAAAACGAAAAATCCTGCAGAAATATATCATCCCTTAGATAAATTTAGATATCTGGTATCTGGAGAATGAGAAGAAGGCAAACAAATTGGAACATGTATTTTCCTTATTTTACAAATCAATATTTCATATGCTATTTCTGACACTACAGTAGTGACCAGATACACAAATACAGGCCAGCCCTAGCTAAAACTACAGGCTATGTTGAGTGTTCACATTATAACCTAGAAAAGAACTTAAAGGAACTAGCCGTAGCTCAGTGGTACACCTCAATGGTATGCAAAGAACGTGAAATCTGAACATTCAGAT